CGCGCAAAAAACCTTCGGAAAACTATACTCGGGTTCTTGGTAAAATTTTTTGTCGGCCTGTGTAATCCTTTGAAATTGTATAAGGATAACTCAGGTGCAATATTAATTACAAAATTTGGAAATTTCACAAAAACTCTAAGCACATCGTAGTGCAATATCATTACATTAATGAAAACTTTGAGAAAGTTATAATTGATATTGTTAAGGTGGACTCAAATTTAATTTAGCTGATATATTGACAAAAAGTTTAGACAAAACAAAGTTTATTTAGAATAGAAAAGCGATGCGATTAATCTAAAGGTTTATAAAAGGATATGTTTAACTGATTCTAGATTGTCAATTTAAGGAGGCATGTTGGAATATATGCAAGAGTGGTCAGCCTCCGTGCGCCTTGGGCTGATCTCTGCTAATTTTTTCTGGGTTCTTTCTCGGTAAAGAAAGCCGGCGCTGACTTTCACAGGCCGAAGTTCGCGCTGGTTGGGGAAGGTTGATATAAAGAATCGGACACTTTAATTCAATTATATTACATATGGCGATCTCACTTATTGACGCCTTTTCACAAATATCGCTACAAGATTAACTTCGCCGCGGCGAGCGCGCTCGCTCAGCTTTTCCGCGACCAGAGTTCGCGGGATCACGCGAGCGAAATCGCTCAGCGTGCGCAATAAAATCAAAATACGCTAATATCCGTAATCGAGCTAGAGCTGGCGCGAGAGAGATAAACAGGCTTTGGACCCACCGGATGCCGACGGTCCGTCGAGAGAGAGGCGACGCCGGCGAAAGCGTAGGCCCGCCTTTGCCCCGTGGACGGCGAATGGTCGCTGCTTGTCCGGGCTCGGCTTTGAACTCCTGGCTCTCCTGGCAAGTGGCAGTCGCACCGCTGGCAGCAGTTCCTCTCTGGCCGAAATATCGTCTCGTCCAGTCTCTCCTTAGGCGGCCCTAATTACTCGAGAGCTCACGCCTAACTGCCCTTCTTCTCTCTTAATTTCTAAGCCTCGCGCCGCTGCGCTCCCACTTCTCTCGCCGTCAAAAATCAGTCAAAATCGCTCTCTCTCTCTCTCTCTCTCTCTCTCTCTCGCTCTTCTCGCTCTCACTCGCACTCACGGCGACACCTCGCCGATCGTCGCGCTCCTCTCTCCAGATCCTGCAACGACACAAGTATATAGTCGCTATATAGCGTACACTTGGTCGCTGCGTTCACGCGAGGAGAGTGCCGCACACAGGGCCAGCGAGCATCGCTATAGCCCTGTCACATATATGTAAATATAAAATTCCACAATACAGTGCTAGATAGCACCGCTAGAGTATGTATGTAGGAGTGCTGTGAGAGATTAACGAAAGAGTTGCGTAGTGGATATCCAAGCCGAGCAGATATACTCAAAACTAAAATGTAAATTGGAGTTAGTTAATACACTAAATATCATTATTAACAAAACAAATCACTTATTTCTCATTCCTAATCACCCATTTTATTCAACAAATACAATTAGAAAATAAAGAAAAAACATTATAACCGGGCAATAACGCGCTTGTAATGGTAATCGGTAAACTTCTATATTCGATCATGATAACCATAGATCGTTCAATCGTGGCCCTCATACTCACGGTTGGATGAAAGGTCACCTCGGGTTGACGCTTGCAGAAATCCCGCGTGGATCCATTGATGAGGTAGAGAGAGCTCACGTTGCTGATGCCGTCACTGCTCCTGCTCTTGCTACTGCTTCCACTATTAATGCTTTTCCTACTGTTGCGGTTAAAACTATTTCGTGGTACTGATAATAGTTGTTGAAGTGCCGGTGGAACGTTATGAAGGCTAGGGTAATCTGACTCATCAAACAAAATGAAAGATCACACTCGAAAATTGCGTAGCAATCCTTAGTACTGAGAGCATCTTCTTATTTTGCTTCCACACTGATGTTCAGTCTGGAAAAGAATAAGAGCCCGGTTAGTCGCTCATACACACACTGCACAGGCTCCCTCATGCTCGCCTGCGGGTGCGCCAGCAACACGGCCTTTATGTGCACTCATTTCTTTCCCTATAGAGTGATGTATTACTCTTTTTCTTTCTCTCTCTCTAGTTCTCTGTTTTTCTCCACTTGTACGTATCTTCAGCAACAGACGCATTGCTCCTCGCTTGCGGCTCCTCTAAACAGCACCTCAAATAGACAGACCGGGCATGACAATTGCACTCACACAATCACATGCGTTCGGTCCGATATTGGCCCCCACGAATACGAAAAGATAGCGGATGAAGGAAAACTCTCTAAAAAACGATTTTTGTCATTATAAGATATAAATGTATTAGTACTCATCTATACAATAGTTATTGATCCGAAATCCAGGAATATAAATCACAGTGTGTTTAAAAAAACTTTAATCAAATGGAAAACACTTATGGATTTAATCCTGAATATGATTGTAAGATTCTTTAGAGAATTATTCTATGTGAAATCAAAATCTAGAAATCAGCCGTTTCGTTTTGCTAATTAAAAGTTTTTTTATCGACATTTTATAGAATTTAGCCGTTTTATGACATTTTAATATTTGAGTAACAAGTGGTTATAGTTTTATAAATAAATGATATGATTAATTATAAGCTAAAGATAATTGATACTTTTCAGCTATATATATATACGAGGTGTGTTCAAAAAGTAAGGTGATTTTGTATTTTTAAGAAAAAATATTTATTTATTTATCAATATTTATGTTGTCCCCTTCAAAGTAATCCCCCTCAGATACAATACACTTATGCCAACGGTTTTTCCAATCCTCAAAGCACTTCTCATAAGCACTTTTCGGTATAGCCTTGAGCTCTTCCAGCGATGCAGTCTTTATCTCTTCAATCGTTGCAAATCTCCGTCCTTTCATAGGTCTCTTTAGTTTTGGGAACAAGAAAAAGTCACATGGGGCTTTGGCCGGTGAATATGGTGGCTGAGGCATGATTGTGGTGTTGTTTTTGGCCAAAAAATCTCTCACAAGCAAAGATGAGTGAGCAGGGGCATATCGTGATGCAAAAGCCATGAATTGTTTTTCCACAATTCTGAGCGTTTTCTTCGTATTGCTTCTCGCAAACGGCGCATAACTTCAAGATAACTTTGGTTTCGATATCATAACCATATACCCATGATTCATCACCAGTTATTACCCTTTTGAGTAAATCTGGGTCGTCGTTGACGTCATTCAACAGTTCTTGAGCGATGCTCATGCGACGGTTCTTTTGGTCAAAATTTAGCAATTTCGGAACAAACTTCGCTGACACACGTCTCATGCCCAAAACGTTAGAAAAAATTTCATGGCACGAGCCAAGCGATATACCAACATCCTCAGAAACTTCTCTGATAGTGATTTGACGATTTTCCAGAACAATTTTCTTCACTGCTTGAGCGTTTTCATCAGTTATTGACGTACTTGGGCGTCCAGAGCAAGGCTCGTCATTGGTATCTTCCCGGCCATCTTGGAAGAGTTTGTACCACTTGTAAACATTTTTTTTACTCAGAACAGTTTCACCGTATGCCATCGTCAACATTTCAAGTGTTTCGTACCACTTTATTTTATTTTTTACACAAAATTTGATGCAAATCCTTTGATCCATATTTTTCGATAGCAAGAAATCGCCGAGCACGCAAAACAATTATAACCTTTACGCCTCTCACAACCAAACAAAAAATGCTATACACTTGAAACTTGGTACAGATGTTCGGGAAGAGTGTACCAACATAACAAAACAAAAAATTGAAAAAAACCGAAAAAAAAAATTTTTCGAAAAACCAAAAAAAAAATTATTGCAGTATTCTACGTGAAAAAACAAACATTTTTTCTCCTATAAATTTTTTTCGATTGTTACAATTTGACGGAGATAAAAAATGTTGAAAAAAACTGTCACTTCCAGGAAAAAATGCCCGTGCGCGCGTCATATTTGACGAAAATAAATTTTTGATGAGTGATTCAGATAGGGCTTGGTAATAGCTAAAAAATGGTGTACTTCAAATTTTCGTACGATTTTTTTTCCAAAATTGGCTAATTGTCAAAAATAATAAAAAAATTTCAGAATTTTCAATTTTGCATAATTGTTGCAAAATTTAAAAAAACAATCGATGGCAACCGTGAGTCATATCATTTGAAAGCTCTCCGAAAGACCTTTCAAACGCACCCACGCGCGTCTCTGTACGTTAATTTCTACCAGAGATATAAAACTTTGAAGTTAGACTGATTTTGCCCGTGGGGGGGGGGGGGGGGGGTAAAAATGCGTGAGCGGCACTGTATCTACTTTTGTAAAGTTTACATGTTTTAAAATTTCATTATTACTATTTATTCTCTTGTAAATTTGAAAATATGATTTCTCACAATTGCGTAAACAACTCGAAGTGAACTGTTCTACGAAAATTGGTGGGAAAATCTGTGTATAAATACGCTGATTTTTGCACAGGCTAGCATTCACTCCTAGCCTTGCAAAGTGAGCGCATGAGATTGAAAAAACTTGGCTAATACCTAAGTTCTTTCTCTCAAGTGATTAACTGAGCAAATCATCTCTTTTTCCTATTGTAATTTGTGCTTGACTCATAGAACACTTCGCGCTATGAGAAACTTGGGCTGAATTACATTCCTTTTATAAGAAAGACTTAAGCTCTGCTTATGGGACACTTCGCATTATAAGAAACTAGGGTAAAGTCTATCTTTCCTTGAAATCTCACTTATATAATCATATATATTATTTATTATTTTATTTCAAAGTAATAATTAGAAGCATTTTGAAAAACGAAACAAATTCTTTCATCATTAACGCGACAGACCACGAGAGTACGAATTATAATATAAATATTAAGTGATACGAACATCACAACGAAGATTATTGTTAACGTACATTGGTGGATGGAAGCTTCAAAAATGGTACGAAACTTTGATCCTTAATGAATCTTTTTAAACAAAAAATATTTTATGAGTAGTTCCGTTTCAAGAGAAGAAAATGTTAAATGTATGAGTAAAAATGAAGTCATACTTACATCTCTCATATTAAAGGTTATTTCCAGGTTCTGGATAAAATGTTGTGCAAATTCAGGATAAAGGGCTAGTACATCGAGTAGATCATCTCGATGAATTTTATGAAGATCACAGTAAGTAAGAGCACAGACATTGCAAGAAGATTTACCAATTGTTGTATAGATGCAGGGATTCTCCCCAAAAACATCATCTTTGCTGAGGATTGCCATGACAATATCATCTTTGAGGATTTCGATACTACCTCTTGCAATGAAATATAATGAAGTAAGTACGTCACCTCGATGAACGAGGGTATCACCTGGTGGAGCATGTGTGGTCTTAAATTTCAACGATAATGCTCTGTAACAAATGATAAATCATAAAAAAACTTCTAATTATTCTTTCACTTTGAAACAAATATATTATCATAAACTATGAATATGTCAAGATTCTTACTGAAAATATTTACATTATTTATAACATCATTAATATTCGAATTCGTCATGCTGGCTGCGCATAGAATTTATAACTACAACGTTATACTCGTAGTACATAAATTATATTTTATATAAAATTTGTTCATTAAGAAGTTTTAAGAAAAATGCTATTTTCTTTACTCTGATTATTATTAGCACTATTTATTTGAAAAATACCTATCATCAAATTCCCTCAGCCAAGGACAGTCAAGAAGTTATAGCCTTCACGGTACTTGGCCAAGGTCTACACCATTATGTCATGATGCTTTACGGGTTGATCAACGCCCCAGCCAAAAGAAGATGTTGGCTTTTGAAAAGTGAAGTTAACACATCTTTTAGGTATAATTTTATATTACGTATTCACTTTCAGAGATAGTTTTCAATTGCATTAGCCTTTGCAATAACAATAAATAAAGTGCAAGATCAAACTTTTGACAAAATTAATATGGCTACGAAGAAATGTTGTTAATCACGAACAACCTTATGTAGATTCGATGGCTTAGATTTGATTTCGGGATCTACTCATAATTTATCTTGGTGATCATCAAAGAGAAATACAAGTGTCAAAAATTATGTTTATAAAGAGCTATATTTATGAATATTATTTTTTAATTTATCCTATTAATTATTTTACAAACGTAATATTTTTTTCACTGAAAAAATATTTCATAACATCAATTAAACTGACAATTAACAAATATTAATCTGATTTAATTTTACTAACTTGATTGAAAGTTAGCGCAATGATTGGTTAGAAGATGTGAACAATGAATGCATGAAACATTTGCCAAACTGTAAGAATGGTGTAGAATAACCTGGTAAGTGAGGTATTAGATGTATCACGTAGAGAAACCCGGCGGAAGCGAAAGAACTACCAGCATAATAGGAAACAAATGTGCGGTCTACATCGCCTAAAATAGAATGAGTGAAAATAAGCGAATATAAGGAAATTGTTGAAGAGGCCAAACGGTGCCATTAACAACACGTTGTAGAGAGGAAAATCCCTGGGGCAGAGTGTATAGAATATACGGGAAGCAAAAAGGTGACGCATGTCTGTCCATCCTGAATGTATGAAACTGGTGGACGAGTACGTAACAGGAGTTATTTCCAGCGGATGACGAAGTATCTACACCAGTAGGGCTCCTGAGGGGGAGAGAGGGGGTAGGTGTGCCACGGTCGTTTAATGGAGTAGCATCGGCGGACCGCAGCTCATCCATTTGGTCTCCAAAATACGTATGGGTAAATATTTGGAATCGACGGCTTAACTAACGTAATGGTTAAGCGTGTGTTTTTGAGCATACGTGATTATGTGCACAGCATGTTTAAGTCGTGAATGAATGAAGAGATATTCTCAAAGGAATGGAAGCAGGCTCTAGTCGTTATACTCTTTAAGGGTGGCGGAAAATGCAAAAGCGACCTCAAATTCTATAGACTTATCAGCTTGATTAGCGGTCTGAGAACATTATATAAAACAGTACTGGTTGAAACGCTGAATGCAAGAATAAACGGGATCTGAAATTACTTGTAGTATGGATTCTCTGAAAACAGGTCTGGTCAGTGAATTTAAGAGCCCGTATTTCATAGATATCTTGGTGAACTTCAAGGGAGCCTTCGACAACTTTCTCTGGCACATGGGGTGCACCAGAAACTACATGAGATTAGATCTCCTGCTTTGGAGATGCGAGTATGGTAAGATTATCTCCGTAAACGTAAAGTCTGTTTGATTAACGGAATGTATAAGATATGGAAGGATGTGAACAAAGGATGTGAACAAAGGATGTCCGTGTTAAAGTATTTGTCGAAAGCCGACTCTAAGTTCACATGAGTAGATTACTGGTACTTCTCTCGGTATTGTTATGTAGTGAGATAGGAATTTGAATATCAAAGTCTCTGAGACCAAGATTATGAATGATGTTGAAGGGTTCAACAGAAGAGTGCATTTGAAAACGGGCAATAACAAGCATTATAGCGTTAGATTTATAGAGACGGTTAAATGGTTACGTATAATAATAGTCACTTGGTACGACTTTCGGCCACATGTGAACACGCTTAAGGCAAGGATGTAGGTTTCGGTTGGTAGACTTCGAATTGTGTGCAGGCAAACTGGGGACTCAAACATCATGTTACGCAGACAGTGTGTAAGATTTTGATGCTTTGGAAAGTTATGTATAAAGCAAGCGTATGACAAGCTTACCCTGAGGATACATTGCGTAGGATGTGACTGTGTAGGCTGGTCCTAGCCTACACCGTGTATGCCTGTATTCTCTCTCTCGGGCGAAGGCACACGGCCGGCATCAAACGCACGTTATTATCACGTGCCTGATACCTGCCCTTTTCATTTTCAGCAACGCACGAGAGCGGAGGACGAGGCCAGGGACGCGACGACGCGATCGAACATTGAGAGTGCGAGAGAGAGAGAGAGAGAGAAACTATAGTCTAGTGGTTGGGCTTGGCGCGCGGCACTTGTCGCGACCGGCATTGCTGCGTGCCGCCGATTAGGAGGCGAGTGGTGGGAGAAGGCGTGAGAAGCCGGCTCTCATGCACTCGCGACAGTGAGTGATGCGACGCACGCGAGAGTAATCGGCCGCATGAGTTAGTTGGTGACCATCGCTGCGAAGACTGCGCCCTTTGTTCGGGAAGAAGTTGGCATTCCTCGACAGATAAGCCGGACGGATTCTCTCTGCCAGCGAAGCAGCAGACAGGAGGTTTTCCTGCAAGAAGCCACTACCAGGACGGTACCCGGCTGGTTCTTCTGCCAGATCACCGGCTGCACAGCAGCCAAGGGTTTTCCTGCCAGGCCGCCGGTGGGACATCTTCCAGATTGCCGGCGACAGCGACGTCCGCCGAAATTGGTCAGGTCACCCATTCCTCTCTCTCTTTATATCTCTCCTTTTCTCGGCGATTCTCACGGTTCGCGTTGCTACGCCAGGCTTTCCCGAGCCGGCGTAGTTTTTGGCAGTGTGTAATTTAAGTAGTTGTTTGAGCCGGTTAACGAGGTGACATGGCGCTAACGTGCCGGTCATCTCGTTTAGATTAAGTTTGTGCGTTATTGCTAATAAGTGATTTGTACTCTCGCCGGCACTCGAGGTAGTGCGTTTGTAATAAACGGTTTGTTAACGAGTTGTGTGTGTGAAATCATTTTGCCTGTACTTCTCCTTCCTGCTTTGCTTGGAGCGATACACCGCCTCCCTTGCCTTCCCCCTTTATAAATAATTGGTAAGAGTGGTGAATTTATCGGCATTGCACGCCGACGCTATTACAAGGAATATATCGGCAATTCCTGCAATGTCAACATATGATGCTGTAAATTTTTATGAGAGCTTGCATGATGGTATTGACGAAGATAATGCAGGTTCTCTGTAAATTCTTACTATGGGATATCGAATGTGTTCGTCTGGCAGATCGGTATAAGGCACGAATGTCCGTCCGAATGAATCAGCTGGACCTACCCATGAATGGAGAAATAGAAGGTGTGGACATTGAGAGTATTTACGTGGTTATCGACGAGCGAAACTGAACCAAGTGGCAGAAAAGCTCGGACATGAGTACGAACTACAGAGTCATATACTAGTGGATTAAAGATATGGATCGAATAAAAAATTGCGACCCTAGTTTACAAGTTACCCACGTCCGCAGAGACCATGAAAACTTAAACATCTTCCTATACCGGAGGCGTTTGAGCAACTCGTTCAGCTGTGTCTACTGAAGGAGATTCTTTATAGAAGAGGAAGTTTCTTTATCGAAAGAAGTTTTCCTCGCTGCGAAAGCTACAGCAGGTAGGCTGCGAGTTCGAGCATCAGTGCGAAAGAAAAAAGTGATAGAGACCGCCTCTTATAACAGATACTATATTAGTTAAAAATGTGGCCTACAAGACCATGACGAAACCGACTCGAAAATCGACTACCGCTGCGGTATTAGACACCGGAGTAGGTGTAGAAATGATACCTATAGAAAATGCTGACGGCAGGAGAGCAAGACTCGATAAGAAAAGAAAGGACGGCGCGGATGCAGAAAATGAAATAGCGATTGTCACAGGCTAACCGTGAAAGAATAGAACGCACCAGTATCTAACTGAAATAACGGCGACAAAAACATAGTCTAGAACCTAGTCCCTAGAAGTTTAGTCCCTCAATAACGAAATGCCCAGCAACAGGGTAGTGGCACGAGTACAAGTAGTTTCCAAGCGTTCGATAGTAATTGTTCTACCTCCAGAGAAGAGAGGCATAATAATTGATTTAAATAGAAATGTATTATACTAATAAAAATCATCTATCGATGTTGATTTCGAGAAATATGTATTCTAACGGAATAGTAGCTGCCATTACTATTTGCTACGGTCGAATGTGATTATTAACCCGTGAGAGCGAGGGAATTAGCCAATTATCTCGTCGATTCCTTGATGTTGTTGCTTGTTGCAGTAGATTTAACTTATTAGCAATGCCCTGTTGAAAGTGCATATAGAGAAGACGCTCGTTAATGCCACTGCAGGAAAATCGGTTCTTGAATGAGGACGCAAAATGTCTGTGACCGTATCAGGAACTTTATTTAAGAAGTTAATATTTTAAATTGGTGAAAATAGCAGAGATTCGTATAGGGCCTCGAAGTCGTCACAACTATTAACGAGAAAAGGATATGTACTTTAATAATGCAGTGCAAAGTAGGCTACAATTTTCGTTTTTGAACGAAATCAAATATCTTGAGACTGAACAGAAATAGACAAATTATTAAACCGGCGATTTAAAGCTTCAGTAATGCCAAATAGAGACAAAATATTTCGGTTCATTGAAAATAAATATTAAACCTTGACGCTCAAGGTCAAAGTTGCAATTTTTTTAAATTATGGCTTTTTCTTCGATTTGACAATGGTTCGAAATTGTTTTTTTT